AATTAGCTGGCGTGGTGGCGGGCACCTGTAGTCCCAGCTACTTGGGAGGCTGAGGCAGGAGAACGGGGTGAACCTGGGACGCGGAGCTTGCAGTGAGCCAAGTTTGCGCCACTGCACTCCAACCTGGGCGACAGAGCGAGATTCCGTCTCAAATAAAAATAAAAATAAACCCAGCAGAAATGTATTGATTAGTAAAATTAGAAAATTAGGAAAATTGGAAAAATTATAAAATTAAAAACCCCTCTTACTCATCCCCACCATTTCCTCTACCATTACAAACAATGAGCCAGTGGGCAGTCGGGGTGTCGTCATAGAAAAGAACAAGTTCGCTGTTCAGGCTGATCAGAAAGGGCAGGATGGGATATCACAGGGGGCCCTAAGTACCCTGCTGAGGATAGAAGGCAGGGATAATAGGCATGATCACAAAGTGGAGATCATGGAGACATTAAAGTCAAATTCAGTGATTTAATAATTTAGCCCTGGGCTAGCCCCACATAATCTATGCTGAGTGACAACATTGCTATCATTTGATTCCATGGCTATTGATAGACAACAGCTCGATTACTTCCCTTCTTGGATACACCAGTGGTTTCCAGCATCTTTGAAACTTTGTTTCTTACTCATCCATCTGGCCTGTGGCATGCCCACATGGCTCAGTACACAGCCTTGTTAAAATGATAAGACTCCATCAATCTCCCCAAAATGGAAAAAACCAAACCAAACCAAACAAAAAAACAGAAGAAGAACATTCATTCAGCACAGAAATCATGTCAGAGGAGTGAAGCCAGAAACACTGGCCCAAAATAGGATTAGAGGGAGCTAAGTTGCAGTGGAAAGCAAAAGGTCTTTCTTACTTTCAACCAATTCTAGAAGCAACTTTTACAATGAACATCTTTTTCTGTAGTAAATTTATGTGGGCACTATTTTTCAGTACGCCATCCATTCATTAGCTTATTTAAGCTTATCACTTATATCAATGAGATATGTTGGATATTTAATCTCAAACTGTCAGGATCCAATTTATTCTTCTGAAGGGCCATTTCTGAAGTTCTTTTGAAGTGTCTTATTTCACCTTTACCCCAGTATTTCTCCAAGTGTCATCCCTGGACTATTCATATACAAATCATATAACAGGAGAAAGAATAATGGTGGTGGTGGTGGTGGTGAGTATTAAAAATGCAGCTGAGGCAGGCGGATCACTTGAGGTCAGGAGTTTGAGACCAGCCTGGCCAACATGGCAAAACCCTGTATCTACTAAAAACAAAAATTAGCCAGGTGTGGTGGTGCGCGCCTGTAATCCCAGCTACTCAGGAGACTGAGGCACGAGAATTGCTTGAACCTGGGAGGCAGAGGTTGCAGTGGGCTGAGATCGTGCCCCTGCATGACAGCCTAGGTGACAGAGAGAGACTCTGTCCCAAACAAAATAAAAACCAGATGTCTGGGCTCTACCTGGAACCTACTAAATTAGACTCTGTGGAAGTAGAGCCTGGAAGTGAACATTGAAAACCAGCAAGTCATGTGATTTTAATGTACTTCAAGGTTTAAGCACATTGACTCCTGTACAGTACCAATAATAGTAATACCTTAGAGCTTATAGGGCTCCATGCTTTACAAAGACTTTTGTGTAACATCTCATTTGAGCCTCACCTTAACCCTCAGGGAAGAATATCAGAACAGGTAGTATCATTTCCATTTATGAAGACCACAGCTGTATGCTATCCAGTAACTTTTGTGAGGTCACACACAATAAAATGGGGTAGGCTGGACTGCATCTCAGGTCTTGTAACATCAACGTTGGTGCTCCTGCCATTACCCTGGATGATACTGACATTCCAATTTACTAAATAAGAAATCCAAATTCAGGTCATGCACGGTGGCTCACGCCTGTAATCCCAGCAGTTTGGGAGGCCGAGGTGGGTGGATCACTTGAGGCCAGGAGTTGGAGACCAGCCTGGCCAACATGGTGAAACCCTGTCTCTACCAAAAATACAAAACTTGGCTGGATGTGGTGGTGTGCACCTCTGGTCCCAGCTACTCAGGAGGTTGAGGCAGGAGAATCCCTTGAACCTGGGAGGTGGAGGCTGCAGTGAGCTGCTGAGATCACACTACTGCACTCCAGCCTGGGCAACAGAGCAAGACTCTGTCTCAAAAAAAAAAAAAAAAAAAAAAAAAAAAAAAACAAAGAAAAGAAAATCCAAATTCAGGCCACTGTCTTAAGGGAAAGACAACAGAAATAGAGCACCCACAGGAAGGAGCACGTTTTGTGGCAAGAGAAAACACGGTAAAAACTTGGAAGACATCAATAACCAGCATACTTACTGCCATTAGTGGCCTAATAATAATGCTGAATTTGTTCAAACTACAATTATAATCAATTACATATTTACTATATATTTAGATTTAGAATGGTTGACTCAATGAACTTGAGCAGGAATGATCAAGTTTTTACCATAGTGAACCATGTGATCAGAAATTCAATTAAGTGAATGCCACCTTAGTTTACTTTTAAGAATGACAGTGTTGGACGGGTACGGTGGCTGTACGTCCGTAATCCCAGCACTTTGGGAGGCTGAGGTGGGTGGATCACCTGAAGTCAGGAGTTCAAGAGCAGCCCGGCCAACTTGGTGAAACCCTGTCTCTACTAAAAATACAAAAAAATTAAAAAATAAATAAAAAATAAAAAATTAGCTGGGCATGGTAGCAGGCGCCTATAATCTCAGCTACTTGGGAGGCTGAGGCAGGAGAATGGCTTGAACCTGGAGGGAGAAGTTGCAGTAAGCCAAGATCATGCCACTTGCACTCCAGCCTGGGTGACAGAGCAAGATTCATCTCAAAAAATAAACAAACAAAAAACAAACAAACAAAAAAAGAATGACAGTGTTGAATGAGAATCCATGTAACTCAAACCTGAGTCAAGGACATAGGAGGAATTGATACCTACTGTCCATTTGTCAGAAATCCATAATGTCCCAGTTTCATTTTGAATTTTAGTGGAAGTAAATCTGAGGAACTCAAAATTATCTCATGAATTATGATTTAGTTCAGTTAGAATTATTAGCTAATCCAAGCCTGTTAAAGAGACACACACTGGTGATTAGTTTTACAAACACAGTGTTAGGCAAATGAATAGTCCCTGAGGAACCCCTAGTTATAAGATATACCTGTTTTTCTCCTCCAACTCTCAGTGGCCACACTGTGGAGGCAGATGGGTCCCATTTAGCCTTGGACCCTTCTTCGCCAGCCATTGGATTTATATCATAATGCTGTGGAGACCCAGGTGATGTGTTGGGCCCCGTCTGGAACTGCTAGTTAGGCCTTGCCTCATAGCTAGAGATTGCAAGGACAGCCATCTTGTGGCCTAATCGAACATGAATAGCCAGTTCAGAAACATCAGAGAGGCCCGACCCCTCTCTGGCATGGCTTCAGGAAGCCATCTCTGGTAAGACACTGCATAAACTGAATAAGTCCTTTGTTAACTCAGACTCTGCATAAATTTTTATGTAACACTTGGTGAAAAATGCAGATTACACTACTGGGCTTATACCACTGTAATGAAGACATCTGGCTAATGGGCCCTTCGGGATTTATTATAGTCAGTCCTGAGTTAGAATGAATCCAAGCTATTTGGGCGCAACCTGGCTACAATACGTGATTATATTTCTGTAAGTGCTGGTTAGCCTGTGTGTTTTTCCATGACCCCATTTGTCTAATTTCCTCTGTTTTTATTTTTATTATTTTGATACCCAGATATTTAGCTTTCTCTACCACTGGATAAAGAATAGCTTGGTTTTCAAAATAGTTTGTGGTTAATCATTTTTTGGTCACCTGGATTTGCTGAAATGTATGATGTGCGTAATCGGTATAGTGTTTCACAGCACTTGAGGTGCAATAAATATTACTTTGTTTTTCTGGCTCATCAAATTCATCTCCAGTATTCTCTGAGCCCAGGAGCAATCATCTGGGGAGGGGTCCTCCCTCTCTATCACCCCTCTCTTTAGTTGTCCCAGGCTTCCAGGGCTTACTCAGTCTAGGAGGATGGAAAGAAAAGCCTCTGTCATTAATCCATTTGGTCACTGCAGAAGATGCTCTCACCCAAGCCTGCATGGGCCTCTGATGGCTGGGAGCCCTGCAGCTATACTTGCTCCTCACTAGACCAGACAGCTGCTCCTGAGCCGAGGAGTTGGAGGTCCAGCTTCAACAACATCCACACAGCCATCCACCATTCAAGGTCCTATCAGCTCCTGGGCACTGTCTCTCCCCAATTCTAAATGCCTCATGGCCCTGGTCCTACCTCCGCCCTCAGCCTTCTCCTGCCTGGAACCAGTGCTCCCAAGACTTGGTCCTTAAGCACCAAACGTGTCTCTTGGGAGCGAGGGACATAAAAACACTGAAGCTGGCTGCCTTCTCCGAGGTTAGGGGAGCATTCCCTTCAGTTCAATCCACAGCAACAACAACAATAAAACCTCCACAAAACCAAAAACCACACAAAAAAGGACACAACACTAGATAATTTCTCAACAATCCACTCTAAATAGGACATATATGGCTATAATTCTTCCTGAGTTTTCTCTACAATTTTACTTAACTAATGTTTCTTTTTTCCATTTTTGTTTTGTTTTGTTTGTTTTTTGAGACTAACTCTTGCTCTTGCGGCCCAGGGTGGAGTGCAATGGCATGATCTCGGCTCACTGCAACCACTGCCTCCCGGGTACATGCCACTCTCCTGAGTAGCTGGGAATACAGGTGCCCGCCACCATGCCTGGTTAATTTTTGTACTTTTTTTTTTTTTTTTTTTTGTAATTTTGTACCTTTAGTAGGGGTTTCACCATGTTGGCCAGACTGATCTCCAACTCCTGACCTCGGGTGATCCGCCCACTCGGCCTTCCAAAGTGCTGGGATTACAGGCATGAGCCACCGCACCTGGCCTCTTTTTTCCATTGTTATACTGCTTATGTTCCTCCCGCCCCTCTCCCTATATATTTTCAACTGAAGCAGTTGAATCTATTTCTGGAATACTCATTTTATTCAATTAGTGATTTTTTTTCTTCTCCCTGTTTTGAAGTTGATACCATACAATTTTCATGAAGATTTAGTTGTTCCGGGTTTCAATAATAGGGTCTACCAAAACTGGAAAAAAAAAAAAAAAAAAGATTTTGTTATTCTTTACGGCTCTTTTGGACTAATTTCACATTATTTGTCAAGTTGTATAAATGATCTTCGGGAACTTTAATTGCATTAAATTCACATACTCATTTAAGATATGTTATCTTTACTGTATCCTTTTCTCAACCAGAAGCAGAGTAAATGACTGCCATTTTTTAATGTCTCCCTTTGTGTTTCCTATTATGGTGTTTTACATTTCTTAGAATAAGATAGTTTCTTCATTCCAAGTTGAGTCAATACTGAAGAATGTATGTTGTTTTATTACTGTTATAGAATGGAATCTTTTTGTGTGTGTATCACCAGTACAAAGAATAACACCAAATTTTGTGGAGTTAGCCTGTACTCCAGAGCTCCTTATCACCTCTTGCCTCTTGGGCTTCATAAATACATAATAATATCATCTCTCAACACTACTTTCTTCCTTTCCTGTGTAGCTCCCTCCATTTGCCCTTCTCCGACATTACTGTCAGCATTGCAGTACTGTGCTGAGTGTAATGATGGCAGAGGCAGACTGGCTTTGTTTCTACTTTGAAGGGATTCTCTATTTTATATAATACTGGATTTTAGTTTTAGTTTCTTTATGAAAGAAACTTTAACAGAGAAACTCTCCTTGTTCAAATATTTAGTTTTCAAAAAGAATAGTTGTTGAATTGGTTTGAATAATTTTTTGGTAGCTGTTGTGATAATGAAGTTATTTTACAAATTTATCATATTAGCATGATAACTCAAAACCTATCACTTGAATAGATACGCGGACAATACGGTAATATCTGGACTTGACTCACAACTCAAAGCAAAACAAAACAAAACAAAACAAAACAAAAACAAAGAAGCCAGCAAGTAAACAAACCAATTAGTAGTTCAGAAAAGCCCATGCTTCTTTATGAAAGCAGCACAGTTTATTTAGGAATGTTTCTTTCCTTTAGGAGGCCCACCACTGGCAGTCTTTGAAATGTGCTCAGTGGTTTACCCAGACCACTTTTTTTTGTTTTGTTTTGTTTTTTGAGACAGTGTTTCACTCTGCCGCCCAGGCTGGAGTGCAGTAGCGGGATCTCGGCTCACTGCAACCTCCCAACTTCGGCCTCCCAGGTTCAAGCAATTCTCCTGCCTCAGCCTCCCGCGTAGCTGGAATTACAGGCATGCACCACCACACCTGGCTAATTTTTGTGTTTTTAGTGGGCACAGGGTTTCACCACGTTGGCCAGGCTGGTCTCAAACTCCTGACCTCAAGTGATCCACCCACTTCAGCCTCCCAAAGTGCTAGGATTACAAGTATGAGCCACTGCATCTGGCCCAGACTACTTCTTACCCCTGTCTCCTGGACAATGTGAAGCCGCCCTTGCAAAATTATGACTAAGACAGTGGAAGGGATCTAACCTAACCGACTCCATCTTGCTTCTAACCTCCAAGCTGTCTTTGTTCATTCCTGGGTGTAGGCTGAACTAACTTTGGGAGAAAGTTGGCAGTTTATAATTTAACAAAGACGGTAACAGCCCTTTCCCAAAGCAGACCTCCTTCTTGCCTGGGGACTAGATTAACATTAGCCACAAGATTAGAAATAATGGTTTAGGAGTCACATAGCTGGAGGCTACAAGACTCTGACCCTCCCTAAACTGCTCCTAAGATCAGTGCTTGAGATATTTTGCAGACCTAGCTTTGATGGATCAACTGGCACCACCCGGATCGATAAACTGGCTCATCTAATCTTGTGGCCCCCACCCAGGAACTGACTCAGTGCAAGAAGACAGCTTCCACTCCCTGTGATTTCATCCCTGACCAGTCAGCACTCCTGGCTCACTGGCTCCCCTACCTACCAAGTTATCCTTAAAAGCTTTACTCCCCAAATGCTCGGGAGACTGATTTGAGTAATAATAAAACTCTGGTCTCCTGCACAGCCGGCTCTGCGTGAGTTACTCTTTCTGTATTGCAATTCCTGTCTTGATGAACGAGCTCTGTCTAGGCAGCAGGCAAGGTGAACCCCTTGGGCGGTTGCAAGTGTATGTGCATCAAAACAAATACCAGAGGAAAAACATCAAATTGTGTTTGGGTAATTCCTATTTTTAGCTGGGTAATTCTCATTTTTACCATTATACTCTTCTTTATTTTTTCTTTTAGACAGGGTCTCACTCTGTTGCCAAGGCTGAGTGCAGTGGTGCAATCATGGCTCACGGCAGCCTCAACCTCCCAGCTCAAGCAATCCTCTGACCTCAGCCTCCTGAGTATCTGGGATCACAGGTGTGCACCACCATGCCCAGATACTTTTTATATTTTGTGTAGAGACAAGGGTCTCACTATGTTGCCCAGGCTGGTCTCAAACTCTTAGACTCAAGCGATCCTCCTGCCTCAGCCTCCCAAAGTGCTGAGATTATAGGCATGAGCCACCATGCCTTGCCTATTATACACTTCTATGTCTTCTAAATAGTCTACCATAAAATTGTATTAATTTTAAGTGAGAGCAATAAATATTTTTTAATTATAAAAATTATATATTCTTGTGGTCAAATAGCCAAATAGTATTCTTCCAGAATTTTTCTATGCACATAGAAGTATAATTTCACTTTTAAAAAAAACACACAAATAAAGGCAGGCTGCACATATTGTTCTCCACCTTGTTTTTTCACTTGCAATGTCTTGGTCATATTTTCATATTAGAACCTCTGTATCTACCTCATTCTTCATAGCAGTTGCAGGGGATTCCATTGAATGGTTGTATCATGACTGACTTAGCAAATCCATTTTTCAGATGTATTTAAGATGCTTTGAGGTGTTTTGCTATTATAAATACACTACGTAACCTTATACATTGCACATACATTTTACTATATGTGAACAATACCTAGCAATGAAATTACTAGGTGAAAGGGCATGTATATTTACAACTTTGGTAGGTATTGCCAAACTGCCTTCACCTTCACTAACTATGGGTTAAATTTTTTTTTAACCTTTGCCAGTTGAATATATGTAAAAATAAGGGATTCTTTTACAAAATACTTATAAAGAAAAATGTTCCATCATTGAGCAATACAAAGTATATATTTCAACAGTCCAAAATACATCAGGTAATTATACAATTCTTTTAGCCAAGATTGTGAAACTCAGGGTTGTAATATTTTCTGAGTATCCATTTATGAAAAACTACTGTTTATTGTTAATTGTTAGTGTGTATCTAGTAATGAAAGCCCAGCCCTATTTATAGTAGAACATGAGAGTTATCTTATGACCTAAAATTGCTATAATTCATGGTACAAGGCAGTCACTAAAATTTTCATCCCTGTGATTGAATAACCCAAAAGAATGCGCCATGGTTGCAAAGCATAGTTGAAAAGAAGGAAGATTTTCAGAGGGGGCCATTCTCAGGGCTGGGGCTGAAGCCTGACCACTGTCCACAGGACAGATGAGCACAGAATACACTTTTTAAGATTAGCACCACAATGCTTATGTAGTCTGATAGTCAGTCTTTTCTCCACCACTCAGGATCATATCATAAGCATTTTTCTATGTCATTAGTCAATAGTAAAAATATTTTTTCGCCAGGCACAGTGGCTCATGCCTGTAATCCCTGCACTTTGGGAGGCCAAGGTGGGAGGATCACCTGAGGTCAGGAGTTTGAGATCAGCCTGGGTAACACGGTGAAACCCCGTCACTACTAAAAATACAAAATTAGCCGGGCGTGGTGGCACATGCCTATAATCCCAGCTACTCGGGAGGCTGAGGCAGGAGAATCGCTTGAACCTGGGAGGCGGAGGATGCAGTGAGTCGAGATCACACCATTGCATTCCAGCCTGGGCAACAAGAGTAAATCTCCATCTCACCAAAATAAGTAAATAAAAATAAAATGTCCGGCATTATTCAATCTTTCTCTATATTATAACTCAAGGCAGTTTTAGCTTGAGCTTTCCATTGTTGGGTAGCCCAGTGCCCTGGAATAAGAATAGACTTCAGAATTAGACTTCAGAATCTATGTTCAAGTCATGCTTCTGCCAGTTAGTTATGTGATCTTAGGCAAGTTGCATAACCAGACTGAACCACATTTTCGTCTTCAGTAATCTGGGTAAAATAAAAGCCAGCTCTCCCCCACACTACGATACTGTGAAGACTGGAGGAAGTATCACAGGCAAAGTGCTTTTTTTTTTTTTTTTTTTTCCTGAGACAGAGTCTTTCTCTGTCACCCAGGCTGGAGTTCAGTGGCATGATCTTTGCTCACTGCAGCCTCTGCCTCCTAGATTCAAGCAATTCTCACATCTCAGCCTCCTGAGAAGCTGGGACTACAGGTGTACGCCACCACGCCCAGCTAATTTTTTGTATTTTCATAGAGATAGGGTTTCACCATGTTGGCCAAGCTGGTCTCAAACTCCTAACCTCAGGTAATCTACCCGCCTCGGCCTCCCAAAGTGCTGAACTTACAGGCGTGAAAGCACAGTGCCCGGCCGCAAAGTGCTTTTTGCATTGCTAAGTAGTAAGAAGTGACTCATTGCTTTAACTTAGACCCAAAGGGCCTCTCCCTGGGTCTGCTGACTCCCCTTTCTCCTTACTTGAGTGATTGAGGTCCTCTAACAGGAACCCCCTCTTGAGCAGTGAAGACCAGACTTTTAATCTGTCACTTAAAGACTGTCACAGTCTGAACCAAACTTAGGCCCGTCTGCTGATCCCGGTATCTTGCCACCATTTCAGTCCATTTCTTGCACTTTCACATACAAGCATAATTTTCAGTACCTTGCTGATATTGCCATTTGCCCTTTATTTTCCCTTATGCCTGGCCCAGTGCCAACTTCCCTGTGAGGACTTCCCTGACACGGAAGACTACTATGGTTTCCTCCTCTGGGCTCACACAGCCCTTGGTCTCTATTGCTGACCTACACATGGTTATCACATATTTCAAGAATCCCTTGACTCTCAGGGCATAGTTATCACCCTTTTAGGTTATCTGCTAATCCTATGACTCTTCTCTATTTTTTTTCAAGACT